TTGTATTTTTGCCATGTTGTACATTCCTCCACCCTATACTCCTTATGTTCTCCTGTGCTTTATTCAGCACAGGAGAACATAGAGGGGCACACTTGATCTACAAACATTGCTATTTGGAGACATTGGATAGAATACATGATAATGTCCCCCTTTGGAGACTGCCCCACAACCCACCCTTGCCAGATTGGATGAGGAAATGGACTTGGTGAATATTTGGAGATGGAGCAACCTACAGGACTCCTAATATTTGTGCTTTTCCTGAACACACATGTCCCTGTCCAGCATTGATTTGGCCCTGGGGAATTAACTTTTTGTTAAGACAGTACATTCTTGTGATATTCTGCCTAGAAGCCTTTCTGATCACTCTCTGTTACTGGTACATATTTATCCGGGAGATCTGCCCTGTGTGTTGGGGTGGCGATTAAAAGCATTCTTGTTGGGGCTATTTCTAACTTATTATAAGAATGTATCTCTCTGAACAAGGACTCTGCTTTGGTGCTTATTGTATAGAATAACTGCAAGGCTTACTTGCCTTGCGGGAGTTGTTAATTGATGAGATCTCACATATCAAAACTTCTTCCAGGAACTGGGAGACAGGTGTAATGCAGACAGTTGCGCAAGCAGAACCTAAATATATTTTGAACTCCACCTTGGTTACATAAGCTCCCTGGGTAGACTGTCATAATTTAACAAAGTGTCATTGATTAAAGCAGAAAAAAGAGGGTTTTTTTTACTCATCATAAATACTTTCTTATGGGTGAGAAAATGGGACACTTGTTAGCTCAGATCACAAAATCACAATCTGCCCCTAATTTTATGGGGCATATTCATTCTGCATCGGGTCAGGACCTTTATTCTACCTCTGATATACTTGCTGAGTTTTGCTAACTTTATTAACAGTTGTATACTTCTAAGATGTTATAATGTGTGTGATCTGTTCATTTTTGAAGCCCATCTTTTTTCTTCAGCTAACTTCCCAAGAGAGAGATAAGCTAGATGAGCTGCTAACTTTGGATGAGCTGACACTTGCCTTGAATTGCCTTGAATACCTCATTCTAAAGCGCTTGAATTGGATGGTCTTCAGGTTGAGCTTAACAAAGGTTTTGCACACCCAAAGGAATACATTAAACTCAATCTGTCCTTTAATTTTTAGAGTAGAGAAAAGTGTAGGAATTTGTGTAATTCGCCCCTAATAGTAGTTGGCCAAGCAAATTTAATCACAATCATTTGGATGCCCCAACTCCTTTACATTATCCACAATGCTCCCTTGTGGATTCCTAAATGTTGGTTTAGCACTATAGATACTATATTTTGAGAAATCGTGTGGAGGGGTCAGGCTAGGATCAGACTTGCTGTAGTACAACGTATCACAGATGAGGGTGGGTTTATTGCTTTCAATTGCTTGGTTTTACTATATTACAGCTCAAGTACGGCATTTGACAGTAGTGCAACAAAAGGAGTTTCTGACCCTACCCTCCCCTCATGAGTGACATTCTGAGGACTGACTCTCTTGCAGTTTTGCTTGAAGCTCACTATTTGTTTCATTATCCTTTTTCCTCTAAGTTTCTCCTAAGCTAGAAAATCTGGAGCGTGTTCAAAACTATGCATGGATATTCAGGGTATAATACCTTTACCTCCCATTGGCAAAATGCAGCTTACCTAGAAATCTATAAAATGGACCCTTTTCCAAATTGAGCTATGTTGGGCATAAAGTGGATTGGTCAGGGCCAGGACTACCCTGAAATCTTCCAGCAGCTACAGGAGGAGTTTCTTTTTCCTACATCTTCTTTTTATCAATATCTGCAACTCAGACATGCTATCCAGCTACAGCAAAAGTTGATTCCCCTTCACCTTAATAATGGTGTACTTCTGTCAATGGCCATTAATTATTTAGCAAAGTAATTTCCTTTGTCTAAGATACTCTTCTCTCATCCAATGTTGTCTCAACCCCTTTGGTATGTAAATCTCAGTGGGAAAGGGATGCAGGCTCCATATCTGCAAAGCAATGGGAATTTATCTAGCAAGCCACTCCTGGGGTTTCCTTGTCAGTATCTAAACAGCTTCCTTAATTGTTTCTTCTCCATAGGGGTTAACTCCACTTTGGTTATTCTGCTTTTGTAGACAGTTATCCCCTTCTTGCCCAAAATGTAGCTGAGATCAAGGCACCTTACTACATATGTTTTGCCATTGACCTATAATTTTTAGATATTGGAAACACATTATAGATCTTATTAACAGAAAATATGGCACTTATCTAGAAAATGTCACTATAACTTGTGTGTTTAGTTATTTCGAACTGTTTGAGGACAGTCGTTATACGTTTTAT